TGATTATACCACTACACTGTAGCCTGGGCAACAAAACAAGACTCTATTGCTAAAAGAAAAAGAAATCATCTTTCTAATTTTTAAATAATGTGATATTCTGTTTAAAATCTATTAAATTCTTTTTAATAACTAGGTTTTAAATATATAGCATGTATGATTCTCAGGTACATATTTACTTGGTACTTTTTTCTTAATATCGTAAAAAATATTCATGGGATTTTCTTCAAATTGGATTTACTTTTGACTTTGTTTCAGATGGCCGAACAGACCCAATTTTGGATGATGTTGGCGAAGCTTTCCAGCTTATGGGGGTTAGTCTGCATGAACTAGAAGACTATATTCACAATATTGAACCTGTTACTTTCCCACATCAAATCCCTTCATTTCCTGTTAGCAAGAACAACGTACTTCAGTTTCCTCAACCTGGAAGTAAAGATGCCGAGGAAAGAAAAGAATACATCCCTGATTACATGCCACCCATTGTGTCTTCTCAAGAAGGTTTGTGATCATTGGTTCGTTTCTTCCTCGTATCGTAGTGACTATTTTAAGTGATTTTTTTTTTTTTTACTCTTTTCTGCAAAGAAGGAACTTAAGTGATTTTTAATCTTAGCTTTCCATGCTATGCCAACATATAAATTCTAGAAATGCAATCAAAATATTTTAATGTTACTTACAAATTATTCTAACCCTTAAATCAACAAACTTGGAACTGACATTACCAGGCAGAGCCGTGGCGTAATCAAGGATATGCCTGATGATGAGGCATTTGTGTCCTTTGTCAATTTAAGTAGGGAAGAAAAGAATAGGACACAGAGGGAAGAATAGCCGTATGAGAATGGGATAGTAAGTAAATTAGAAAACCTTTGAAACAAAAAAGAAAAATTGGGGTCACTCTTTTCCTTCCCCCTTATTATTAATGTGAGTCCAACGCCATTTTACTGGGAGCAGTGAATGGGTTGTGCATATTCACTGATGTTATGCAGACTTATTTCTGTTGTTTATGATGAGTAGAGATGTTTGTTGTTTGATCGTATCGAACTTTTGATTAAAAATGATAGCTAATCAGGCACAGTGGTCAAATCCCATTGCAGAGTTCCTTTTTTTTGCATGATTTTACATGTTGATCACTAACTACACTAAGATTCTAAAGAGGTACTTAAGCAATTTGTGGTCT